TAGTTGCTGAGGAAGTCTCAAATAGAGACGAAACGTTCAACGGATAAATATAGTGTTCATCTTAATTAAACCCGTCCAAAAAACAACTTCCCTAARARYAAACTTAGTAATAATATTAATAAATTTTGGATAAGAAAAAAATCTTGATTATATTAATATTTAATAATCTTATTTAAAGGTAAGTTACAAATAAATACAAGTATGTACGTACCTATAATTTCCTCCATTATTTTTTGTGCTACAAATGAATAACAAAGTAAATAATTATTATATAAATCTATTTGTGTTTATAATAGAAAAAGACAATGTCTTTTTTTAAATTATATGTTAATAATTTATTATTATAAATATTTTGTTACTTATAAATAATCAATTGTATTTAGTAATATTTACTTGTTCCTATTTGCGCCTGAAGCAACAATTCCCTTAAACATCAAAGCACAACAAAATGGCCTACGTAAAGGGGCACACCTTTCGTCCTAGATCGAAAATATTATACTCTTCGTTTTTGATATTAAAATAATATAAAGAAAATTAAATACGTCAATTGGAATAAATATTTACTATAATATATTTAAACGTTTAAAAGAAAATTATATCTTACGCGCTAATTCTATTATTTTATTTAATCGTGTATCACAAATTACACATACACACTTCACGCATGCGTATGAATCGACACAATTGGAATTGTTCTAATGATATCTTTTTACATTAAATTTAGTATCACTTATGCAATTTTTTTCACCAAATTCAATCATTTTTCATTATATGCATATATATATCAATTGATACATATTGCAAATGTAACAATTAACTTAATTAGCCCCTACCAACATTCTACAATGTTACGAACGTATAACGGGAAAGCTGTCTGTAATTCTGGCTTGGAAGTTTTCGATATCGATATATCTCTAAATGTTATTAAATCGATAAATGAAAGCGACATCTGTATAAGCAATTTTGTATTCTTCCTTTTTCTAGGAACTTTACGTCTGTTAAAGTTACATTTTGTTTTTGTAGATTATCAATTTATCTTTTTATTTATTTATTATCAATTAGTATCAAATTCAAAATGTAATTTTTTTTAAATGCTCAGTTACACCAAATGAGTTTTTCTACTTTTATTTCCTTATATAAATGCATAACAAAATAATGTGTGTATATAATATAAAAATATTAGAATTACATTTTTATATGATACTTATGTATACGTTTTTTAAAGATACAAACTATGAAAAAAATACATTATCTTTTTATTATTTACTCTTTCACTATATTTACTTAATAGTGTAAATCTAACAATGGAAATATAAAACTATAATATTATTAAACTCAATTATATTATTAAGATATAAATAATTATGATCCACATGCCATACAAGCATCACCATTTTCAAGAGAACATATAAATGCATCCATAGTATTAATCGTATCATTCTCGTGAAAACTATTTTTTTCTGGTTCTGTTGAAGATTTATTCAAATATTGACTTTTGATACTTGAATTAAGCGAATTATTAGCTTCAGACATTTTCCTTGTCTTCTTTAATTTGCTTTTATCAACGGTAAATTGTAGTGCATTTGCAGCTGGTTTTGTACGCAAATAATACATGCCTGTTTTTAATCCCTACAAAGAAAATCAAAGTCGTATTATGATTGAAATACATTTTAAAACCATACGTGTGTATAGATTAAGTAGAATCCTACTAACTATATATATATATTTTAAACTTACATTTTGCCAGCCATAAAAGTGCATGGATGTAAGTTTTTCTACTGTTGGTTTAGCCATGTAAATATTTATAGATTGTGACTGGTCAATAAATGCTCCACGATCCGCTGCCATTTTAAGAATTGTTTTTTGTGATATTTCCCAGACAGTTTTGTAAAGTAATTTTAATTCATCTGGTATACTATCAATGTTCTATAATAACATAATAAAATAAATAAATTTAATAAAAAGAAATGAACAATTTTTTTAAATTAAAATTTGTATAATATAATTATATAATAAGGAAATAAAATAAGATATAAGAGTCTGACCTGAATAGAACCATTATTTGCAATAATTTCATTTTTCATATCTTCATTCCAGAGATTTCTTTCGATAAGATCTTTCAATAAATGAGGATTGACAATTTGATATTCTCCAGATAAGACACGTCTTGAATAAATATTATTTGTATATGGCTCTATTGATTCATTATTACCAAGAATTTGTGCCGTAGATGCGGTTGGCATTGGTGCCAATAATAAAGAATTTCTTATGCCATGTTTTGCAATTTTTTCTTTCAATACTTTCCAATCCCACAAATTCGTTGGTGTAACACCCCACATATCATATTGCAGTATCTAAATATATTCATACATTTAACATTCGTCGGCAGAATAATAAATAATTACTTTTTGATAATATTAATTATGTAGAATTAATGCTTACTCCTTTGCTAACAGGACTTCCTTCGTATGTTTCATAACAGCCTTTCTCTTGAGCAAGTTCACAGCTTGCTTCTAAAGCACCATAATATAATGTTTCAAAAATTTGAATATTAAGATTTTTAGCCTCTTCACTTTCAAACGGAAAGCGCATTAACAGAAAGGCATCTGCTAAACCTTGTACTCCAATACCTAATATATCAAATAATATTATTCACAACATGAGAATATAAAAAAGTTAATCATATAAATAATAATTGAAAAATATCTTACCAATAGGTCTATGTTTTAAATTAGAGTTTCTAGCTTCTAGGAGAGGATAATCATTAACATTAATTATTTTATCCAAGTTGCGAACTATAATTTTAGTTACGTGTTTTAATTTTTCAAAATTATAAGTTTTTGTATTTTTATCAATAAACATATTAACAGCGACTGATGCTAAATTACACACAGCAATTTCATCAGAGCTTGTATATTGAATTATTTCTGTGCATAAATTGCTGCTCCTAATCGTTCCTAAATTTTGTTGATTTGATTTGCGATTACAATGATCTTTGTAAAGCATATAAGGTGTTCCAGTTTCAACTTGCGACTTAAGTATAGCAGTCCATAAATCTCTTGCATTAATTTGACGTTTGTAGGATTTTTGTTTTTCATACCTTTGATAATATTATTTATTTTCATTTTCATATATATATTTTTAATTTAACTAAATTATTCATTAATTTAATTTAGTTACCTAATGTATAGGTCATCAAATTCCTTTCCCCAAACATCTTCTAAGCCTGGAGATTCATGCGGACACATTAAACTCCAAACACCATCATCCAAAACACGTTTCATAAACAAATCTGGGATCCATAAAGCATAAAATAATTCTCTCGCCCTAATCTCAGAGTTTCCTATTAGTTGAACAAATAAAAAAGAGTTAGTTTAAAAGTATTTATATTTGTTGTTATATCTTACTAATATTTTATAATTATATTAAACCATTACCAGTATTTTTTTTAAGATCTAGGAATTCAAATATATCTGCATGCCATGGCTCTACATATATAGCAAATGCTCCTGGTCTTTTATTTCCGCCTTGATCAACATAGCGGGACATATCATTAAATACTCTAAGCATAGGAATCAGTCCACTTGCTTCGCCACGATTACCACTTATTGGTGTACCTTTTGCTCTAACGCAATGTATACTTAGACCAACACCACCAGCCCATTTACTAATTAAGGCACATCTTTTTAAGGTTTCATAAATTCCTTCAATACTGTCATCAATTATTGTTAAAAGAAAACAACTGCATAATTGTTGTTTCGGAGAACACGCAGCAAACAAAGTTGGAGAAGCATGTGTAAAATAACGTTCTGATAAATAATTATATGTTTCAATAGCTTTCTCAATATCCTCTTCGTGAATTGCAACAGCCACTCTCATTAACATATGTTGTGGTCTCTCTACAACTTTGCCATCAATTTTCATTAAGTAACTTCTTTCTAAGGTTTTAAATCCGAAATAATTATAATTAAAATCTCTTTCATAAATAATTGCAGAATTTAGTTTGCTTGCATGTCTTTTTATGATATTATAAGCTTTTTCACTGATAATAGGTTTGGACTCCTTGGTATATCGATCTACTGCAGATCGCAAATCTTCGATTACATCTAAAATAAAAAATTATATGATACAAATCATATCAAAACATAGTATGTATATATATCTAGAGCAATAATTACATTAACATTATCATAAAATATAATATAAATGGAAATAAAAACTATAATTATACCGCTGAAAATCTTCTTTGTTTCTTTATGAAGATTAGATACAGCAATTCTAGCAGCTAAAATAGCATAATCAGGATGTTGTGTGGTCATAGTTGCGCAAATTTCAGCTGCTAAATTGTCTAGTTCAACAGTAGTAACACCAGTGTATAAGCCACGGATTACACGAAATGTTATCGCAGACTATAAAACATAGATAATTAAAGATTTGCTTTGTAGTATGTAATATGATTTATATATATATTAGATATATATTTATATATAATATTTATAAATTCACTTACTGGATCAACATACTTCATATTTAAACCGTAACATAATTTTTGTATTCTATATGTTATTTTATCAAAACAAACGTCTTCTTGTCGCCCATCTAATAACAATAAAGGATTCATTAGCATAATGGAATTTTAATCAAATGAACTTAAACTGTAATTAAATATACTTACCCCGTTTCACTACATACATCTTCGTCATTTTGATAACTATAATTGGATAATAAGTTTAACTTAATTTATTAATACTTTTCAATATTATGTATCCTTCCTTGTTTTCAAGAGCTCTGATGTGAAACGGAAATGTGACTGTAAGCGGAACTATAAAAAATAATGAGCAATTATTTACTTATTTAAGATTGTTTTAACAATTTTATACTCAAACATGAATGTGATTACGTTTAATATTTATTATATATTAATTAGAAACAATAAAACCCTTCACACCTTTTCAATGCACTCAAATTAAGATAAGAAAAAATGTTTGATTACTTCCTTTAATAGAGAAAAAGCGGGAACGAGTTGCTAACCACATGTGATGCACTTAGTAACTGTTGGTCGTTATACAAACTAACCACATGTGATGCACCTAGTAACTGTTGGTCGTTATAAAAACCTAACCTTTACGTGTGCTTGGCATTTGAAACATTATATATATATAATTAAAGTGTTAATTACATGTTTACTATTTAATTAAATTTCCTATATTGTTGCATTTTACATGCATAATATTATATTATATTGTTCATATTTGTATGTATAAATCCAATAATTATTATGCTAAATATATTACAAATAGATAAATAAATTTGTATGTGTGACGTGTATGTATATTACATGCGCTGACACATTTGATGTTACGTCACGCATTATAAATTTAGCCGCATTATTTGTGTTATACCGTATGTTTAAACTTGCTTGAAACGTGGACTGTAAAGAAAGTGAAAATATTATTTAATGATGACTGTAGAAAAGGATGAATGTATTGAATTATTTCAACAAATTGGTTTAAGTGAACAAAAAGCAAAAGAAACATTGAAAAATGCACAAGTTTCGAAAAATCTTAAACTTGCTATCACAGGGGTTAGTGATATGATAAAAAGTTACATTCAATTTTTATTTTATAAACGAAAAATGTTTTTTTACTTTTTGAGTATATAGTGAATTATTATATCTTACCAAAATTTTTATAATTATCATATAAAAAACTTGAATGTATTTTGTTATTTTACAGGCAAGAAAATATGTTGATATTACACCAGAGATAGGTATACTCTTGTATCATCTATCTTCAAAAATAAAAGCTCAGATCGCTGACAAAATACCATTTTTATCCAAGTTTATAGCTGAAAGGAAATTGGATACGGTTCAAAGATTAGATGCTGCATTAAATTATATTCTTAGCAACTTGAATGAAGAAATCCATATTTCAGCCTTCGAAGAAGCCTGCGGAATAGGAATTGTTATTTTACCAGAACAAATTGAAGAGGAAGTTGAGGAGCTTATTAAAATTCATAAGGATGAAATTTTGAAAAAAAGGTTATTGAATTACTTTGAGCAATATAATTATTGGATAACAGTATAATCATTTTGGTATTATTAACATGATTAATAATATACAGATATCGATTTAATCCTGGTCCATTAATGCAACAAGTACGTAATACATTAAAGTGGGCAGATGGGAAAGCAATAAAAAATGAATTTGATATTCAAATTTTAAATTTATTAGGACCAAAGCAGAATAGTGATCTTGAATCAGTACCGAAACAAACACAATCAAATAAAGTTAAAAAAACAGTAAAAGAAGGTATATTAAGAATTATTATTACTTAAATTCTTATATCCAAATAGATAATAAAAAAATCGTATCTTCTATCTTTTTAGAACAAAAAGATACTTTGTCGACAAATGAAAACCCATTAACAATAACAGAACTAATGAAGACAAAAGTTCACTTTCATAAACCTGGAGAAAATTATAAAACTGAGGGATATGTCGTAACACCTAATACTAATAAGTTATTGCAAGAACATTTGAAAATAACTGATGGTAAAGTAAGAACGAGATTTCCACCAGAACCAAATGGAATTCTACATATTGGTCATGCAAAAGCTATTAACATTAATTTTGGGTATATAAATATATTTGTATATTCTCTTATATGTATATTTTACATGCACAAATTATGATACGATAAAAAATTTATCCTAGATATGCTGCTGTGAACGACGGACTGTGCTATTTACGTTATGATGATACAAATCCTGAGAAAGAGGAAGAAAAATTCTTTATTGGAATTCGTGAAATGGTAGAATGGCTTGGTTATAAGCCAGCGAAAGTTACACATTCATCTGATTATTTTATGCAATTATATAATTGGGCTGTAGAGCTTATAAAAAAAGGATTCGCATATGTTTGTCACCAATCAAATAAAGACATAAGAGGTTTTAATCCACCACCAAGTCCATGGCGCGATCGTCCAATCGAAGAAAATCTACAACTATTTGAAGTAAGAAAAATTAACAAGTATTTGTCAAATATTTACTGTTCTGTTTTTCTTACTTATAACAATAAATTTTTTTACAGGATATGAAAGATGGATTATTTGAAGAAGGTGAGGCAACATTACGTATGAAAGTTACTTTGGAAGAAGGCAAACAAGATCCTGTAGCGTACAGAATTAAATATTTACCACATCATAGAACTGGAGATCAATGGTGTATTTATCCTACTTATGATTTTACACATTGTTTGTGCGATAGTATAGAAAATATAACGCACTCTCTTTGTACTAAAGAATTTCAGTCACGTAGATCATCTTATTATTGGCTTTGTAATACATTAGACATATATTGTCCTGTTCAATGGGAATATGGTAGATTAAATGTAAACTACACTGTAGTTTCTAAAAGAAAAATTGCTAAATTAATTGAAGAAGGAATTGTTTGCGATTGGGATGATCCAAGGTTTATAAAATTAATTAAATTTAATAGCTTTATATTATATTATTTTCAGAAAATTGTAAAAATAAGTTTCTTTTTTCCAGATTGTTTACATTAACAGCGTTACGTAGACGAGGATTTCCAGCTGAAGCTATAAATAATTTTTGTGCTCAAATGGGTATAACTGGAGCACAAGCAGTTGTTGATCCAGCTATTTTAGAAGCTGCAGTTAGAGATGTTTTGAATATTACTGCTGTAAGACACATGGTTGTATTAGATCCTATTAAAGTGACTATTAGCAATTTTTCTCATAGTCAGGCATTAAAACTTTCGGTACCAAATTTTCCTAATGCACCCGAGAAAGGACATCATGAAATAACTTTCGATAAAATTGTATACATTGAAGCATCTGATTTTAGAGAGGTTTGTAATAAACACATATATATAAGTATAGTCTATTTGTAAGCGGAGTATAAGTATATATTAATTTAATATGTCATTTATATATAGGTAGATGAAAAAAGTTTCCGACGTTTAACTCCGAAACAATCAGTTGGTTTAAAGTATGCAGGTGTAGTTCTTACTATTGAATCTATAGAGAAAAGTGATAATGGAAATATTACAAATCTTATAGTCAAACAAGAGCCTGTTTCAGAGTCAAATAAGCCTAAAGCATTTATACATTGGGTATCACAACCTACACTAGCATCTATAAGATTATACGAACGCCTGTATGTATAAATAACAAGTATTATATAGCTTCATTTATCGTATTATTTCTAATATAATATTGTTTTTATAATTACATATAGATTTAAACATAAAAACCCAGAAGATCCAAATGAAGTACCGAATGGTTTTTTGAGTGACATTAATCTGAATAGTAAAAAAGAAATCGTTGGTTATTTAGACGCTAATTTAGCAAATGTAGTAAAACCTTTTGATAAATTTCAGTTTGAACGTGTAGGATTCTTTTCTGTTGACCCCGACACAAAACATGGCAAGGTAATTTAAAAATTTTTCTAACTGTATATTTGAAAAGATTAATCTTTTTAATTATTTTTGTTAACCAAATAATTTATCTATTTAATTATGTTTTTTAGGTCGTTTTTAATAGAACAGTTACATTAAAAGAAGACTCTGGCAAAATTTAAATAAAACACAAATATAATATCAATATTATGCTTGTTTGTACCTTTATAAAATTTTAAATAAAAGTAATAATATAAAATATTTGAATTAATTGTTACTGGTTAAGAACTATTGATAATTATACATATTTTGCTATGTATACATGTTCTATATTATTTTGTTTTGTCAGTAACACTTGATTAAATAAAATTATTTGATATATTAGTTCATAACACATGACTCATAAGTGGGAACCATGTATTTAATGTTTATAAATGCATCTTCTCCACCATACATTTCTAAAACTTCAAGTGTTTCTTGTATTATATCTGCTGTGTTTTCACCTCTTTGTTGAGAATAATCAATTCCTTCACCAAGGTTGACTACAAAAGATATTTAAATTATTTGGATATAATACAAGTATGTGAAATGCAATACAAATGATATTTTTTTACCATTTCTATTTTTAAGTAAGTTTAAAATTGGAAGAATTTGTCTAAAATACGGGATTAATGCTTCGCCAATATCATCAGCAGAACGTACTAAATGCTGAAGTACTCTCATTGTAGAGCACATTATTTTTGGTATTTTTGTATTTAAAGCATCTGTTATAAAAACATTTGGGTGAATAATGTAATTGGAGCTCATAATCTATGATATAAATTTAATTCCGTTACTTGAAGATAAAATTATACTTTTAATAGGAATAATCAGTTTTGGAAGAACAGGTAGTATTTTTGATCCTCCGTGATCTAACATATCGGAGATACATTGTTCTACTATTTGTTTATAAGGTTGTTCTTCTTCTATCAAACCATCAAAGAACAGAGGTAAATAATAATGAAAATCTAGACTTGATATATCTTCTTTCCAATTAATTTTTAACCCAGAAGCATCATTTTCTAATGAAATAGGAAATACGCCACGTTCATAATATTTTCGAAATTGAGATGGTTTTGGGCGATGCCATTTATATATTTCAATTCGTGGTGGGTCAGCAACTACTGTGTTATCCTAAAAAAATACATGTAAAAATTTTAAACATATAATTTAATAAGTTCATTATAGCGATGCTTTACCTGCATTGCTTGTATGGTAAAAGCAGGAACCACTCTAAATTTTTTTTTTTTGTATCGTGGTATATTTCCACAAATTTTATTCCAAAATTCCTTTTCATTTACCATTTTAATAAAGATTTATTTCAATCATATATTTTTAACTATTATTACAAATATTCAATATGCTTGATAGTTAAAAAAAAAGATATTTTGCTTTTTCGAGTACATACACAAAATTTATTTAATATGTGTGAATATAACTGAAACACGGAGTGTTACCATTCATTAATGATGAAAGAAGTTACTTAGCAACAGTATTTATAAATTTATCGAATAAACAGTTAGTCTCTATTTCATCATTATCAGTGACGTAAGTAATATAAATGATGCTCATGAACACTGATTTATTTTAACAGCAGACAATTTAGTCAATTGCGGAACTTTGAATATTGTGATACAACAGTAAATAATAGTAATGACATAGTAAGATATTACAATATAATACAACACTGCAATAAAATATATATAACATTAATTAATTAAAGTTTTCATGAAATGTCTTTTGAAAATTAAAAACAATATATGTATTTACTTTAATTGAATTGCATAAGTATAATATAATAGTATAGTATATTATTATCAAATATACAAGAAAGTAAAATTTATTAGAAACGATTTCATAAATTACAATGATATATATTATGAAATATATTATTAGTCCATATGAAGTAATAACAATATTATATGACAGTTTTTTACAATATAGCTTGCGACCCACGCCATGACGTGATAGTATGATGGCCTGTTGAATAATTATCCCCACTCTGAGAAAAGTTATTGCAATCGGATCATTCTTCTCATAGAACATAGTTGCATTATTCATGGTACAAGTAATATAACTTACCTGTGTGAGCATTAATAATTCATCTTGTGTATCAACAATTTTAACTGGGAATGGTGAACCAGGTACAAGTACACCAGCCCAGCGTACCTCTACTCTATAATCACCAGGCTCGGTCGGATCATAACGACAAAGAATTATCCTGTCCTTTTGAGTTTCTCTTTGCATTTCAACCCTAAATGCACCCTTAGGTCCTCTTACTCTTACCGTTAATTGACCAGCGCCAGCTCCTCGAGTATCACAGATAAACCGAGATTGAAACGTTGCTAATACACCATGTTCGATACCTGGTCCATATACTCGAACCTAAAAAATAAAAAAATATATGTGTCTCTCTTATAGAGTATAAATTAAATTCATTATAAAATACGTATCACACATAAATAATTATAAATAATATACTTTTGATGCATCAGGAGCTCCAGAAACACGTAACGTGAAAGGTGAACCTGGTACGTGTTCTCCTGCATATTTAATTGTTAAAGCATGTCTGCCTGCTTCTTGAGGTTTTACGTTAAGTGTAAATGTTGCATCACCGTGATCATAAAGTTCACAATAAGCTACTTTATGTTGACCAACACAATGAGCTGTTAATTCACCTGAAAATATAAGTTTAATCATTAAATATATTATATGACAGTAGATTAGAAATTTTATAAGGATTTTTTTTACCAGGTCCTGCTCTTCTTGTATCAATAAAACTTCTTATTTCTTGTCCAACTACGCCATGTCTTAAACCATCTCCTGAACAGATAACTCTTGATGCATCTGCTGCACTCGTAACATTAATTTGCAAAGGACATCCTTTTAATTGTCTGCCATTCCATGAGACAGTCATTAGAAGTGGATCTGGTGTTTGTGGTATATAACTTGCACGGTATACACTGTCGCCTGTATATTTTTTTAAATATATAATGTACAATATAATACAGCTGCATTTATGATTTTGTACATTTATCTTACCTAAATGTTGCAGCATTACATTAAGTTCACTAGTAGGAGAGAAAAGTTGTACTTTTGGAGTCCCACTACCAGCTTGAGAACCATCTATTATAAAACTAACTTCTTCACCACATTTTGCTGAAGTTAATCCCCGACCTCGTAATAATACTCTACTAGTATCTTGTACTGGTGGCTATAAAAAAGATAATATTGATATATTTATTCATATCTCTCTTTAATCTTATAACATCCTTTATTTGAAAACCTCAAGATCCTGAACATATGCAAGTTTTGGTGCTCCAGGAAAAGGTACACCATTAAAAAATATTTCTAAACGATGCTCTCCGCTAGATAAATGAGGTAGTACTAGCTTCAATCTGTTACTTGAAGTCATTTCAAATGTTAATGGATGATCTGCAATATTTCCAGTTAATTCGCCAGGTCCTGCTTCTGCAGTATCAAAACTAATTTTATTAGATGAGTGTAATTTTAAACGACCAATATCGTCACAAACAGCAGTCCAACCACCTATATACAAAGATTTATAAAATGATTATGTTCATTGTTAAATATTATTATATAATGATTTTATAAAATAATTTACCAATAACACGAAGATTACGAGTGTCTATAATCTTTGGATGCCAAGGGGATCCAGGTAATTGCTGACCAGCAGAAACAACCCTGATGTCAAACACACCTACTTCAGTAGGAATATAAGATACATTCCAAGTTCCTGGATTAACGCCTGCCTCTACAGTTGCTTTAGAAACACTATCTGGACCATCCACCTATTATTTGTGTGACACAACACACACACACATATATTAATATATTATTATATATAATTTATATATATATTTATAAAATAATTAAAAATATGTATTTTTTAATTTTTTTATATATACCTGTACTGCTGGAGGACTTCTCGTTCCAGTAACAATAAAGTGAGCTGATTTACCTACATGACCACTTAATAAGCCTTCACCTTTAGCACGAGCTTGTCCAGCAGCATCAACTGTACAAGCTACTGGACTACCAGGAATAGAACACCCGCCTATTTAAAAACGCTAATCAGTATTACATTCAATTATTTAAAAATTGAATTAGTACATTTCAATTTCTTACCATATGTAATATTAATCATATAAGTTCCAGGAACACTAGGTGAAAATTCTATCATTTCCGCTCCATCGTTAAGAGGAGTGACTTGCAAAGGAAGTTCTTGCCCTAAAGGACTTGTTGCGGTTACATCTAAGTCTGCTATTCCAGCTTCCGTTTTCATTACTATAATTATATATTTTAAGATATTATTTAAAAACAGAAGAATAATGTATGAGAATATTATAGAATAATAGATAATTCAACCTACATTTAAGTGCAATGTGATCATGAACAGTTACCGTCATTGGTCCTAATTCTTGAAGTTTTACTTTTGAAGCATCGAATGCCTGACAGAAAAAAGGTGAACCCAAAACTGGTTTTGCACCATGTAAGACATCAATTTTATATGTACCTGGAAAAAATACAATAAAATATATATTATTACAGTATATATATTAACTAATTATTATACTTACCTACAGAATTAGTAGTAAATTCAGCTAATAAATTTCCATCCCTATGCTGATAACATCTCACAGGTACTGCATTACCTTGTGGACCACTGATCACAACATCAAATTCTTTCCCAGGACGTCCTAATGTTTCGATAGTAAACGAAGTTACTTTACTAACGCATGACTGATACAAACCTAAACCAGTTGCAGTTACTTCTCGTCCACCTGTAGGACTACGTACTGTTACATCTAATGGACTTCCTACAAAATTAAAATATAATATATAATTATAACGTATCATATATATTAACTGTATCATATATATATATATATATACCTGAAATATGAACATCGTTATATTTGATATGCACTTTGTGAGGAGCTGCACGTGTTGGATGAAAAACAATTTCATAAACACCATTATCTCCTTCTCGAATTAAACTATCAACATCAGCTCCACCAGCACGAACATTTACAGTTAATTTCCCAGGACCAGCTTCTTTTGATGCAACAACTAAAAAAAATGCAATATTATAAATCTGTTCTCTCTCCTCTGACATATGTGTATATGAAAATAATAATACCTAGAATTGTTCCAGGACGATGACAAACTACATCAGCAACTTCTTTAACAGATACTTTACTTGGATCAAAAGCTTGAAGAGTTTGAGTACTAATAACTTTGTAACCATCACTAAACATTACACTGTAAGTACCAACTTGACGAGTTCGAATTTCTACTCGATATAAAGTAGAAGATAATTTGGTCAATGTACTTGGTATAATTATTCCATCTGGACCTGTTGTACAAAATATATAAAATATAATAATTATAGAATTATAATAGATAATTTATTTAGCTTAAATTGCGGTTTACCTGTTACTTCTGCAGATATTGGTCCTTGTAAACCTAACATATCTAAATCCATATAAGCTGTATTTCCAACTCGTATCATAGAAGGTCCATCTAACATATTTGTAGTTACAGGACATTTAAATGGACTACCTGGAAACATTAGATAATATTATATAATTTTATACTCAATTTAAGAAATGCAATGAAAGTATAAAAATCATTTAAATATTTAACGTTTACAAACCTGGGACATTATCATCATTAAAACTAATATTAACATAATGGGTACTTGTGGTTTGAGGGACAAATGTTACATCATAAAGACCACGCGCACAAGCAACTACTTCAGCCTTAACTGTATTATTTTCAGTGCTTACTACCAATTCTAATGTTCCCTCTCCAGCTTCTGCTGCATCTACAGTAAAAGTTGTGGCTTGGCCTAATAAGGCTTCTGTAAGACCAGATACATGGACCTGTTCGTATTTATAATAAAAGATTATATTTTAAATATTGCATATTCATAATATATTATATCATTTTTAAAATTTACCTTAGTAACATCATAAATATTGCAAGCAAATGGTGATCCTTTAATTGGTTCTCCGTCTACTAATATACTAATATTATGTCTCCCAACTTCTGTAGGTACAAAACTTACATTATATTTTCCATCAATAGATTCTATTGTAATTGGAAGAGCTACATTTGATGGTGGTGTGACGATAACGTCACAATTTGTTGAAGGTGCTTGTGGATCAACAGTAAAAGAAATCAATCTCTTAACAGCACCCATTTTCAGATTATTACCTGTTAGTACTGCTTGACCTGCACCAACTACTTTACAACTAAATGGTGAACCTACAAATGATATATCAACGTATGACTTCAATCTTGCGATATATATTATATCATAAAAAATAAGAAAAAAGACTTCTTACCTGGTACAGGTTCTCCATTAAAGCGAACACTAAGACTATGTACTGCAGCTTCATGTGGTTTAAAGTTAACTCTAAATTTTGCATTACCTTCACTTTGTACATAATTTGGTACATTTTTACCATTGACTGCGACTATGATTTCAAGATTTCCAGCACCTGCTTGACTGGCATTAACTGTAACAATATTAAATATTATAATTATTTACTTCATTATATTATTTATTATCATTGGTTATAAAAATATATGTTGGATAACTTACTACTGAAAAAGACAGGTTTGCCCACAACACCACTATTTATGTCAGTTACTTTTACCTTGTCAGCATTATAAGCTTTTACAAGAAAAGGACTACCTTCAACATGGGATCCACCCAATTTTACTTCAAC